TAAACCTTAGCTAACATGTACAGTGTATATCGAGGTTTACATAATAATTAACAAACCAAACTCACTAGATAATGTCGGTTTTTTAAAACTTTATTATGCATGAATTCAAATTTTACATGAAATAAAACAAGACAGTGATATGGCTTTGATGGATCTTTACATTATTATTTTATGTTTTTAATTTTTGCTTCATTGACATTAAACCAAAATCATGTAAATTGCTGATAGAAAAATGTGAACCAAATATTGTTTTCATTGTTAAGTTGGCACCTCTAATGAAAACTTGAAAAAGTAATTTTGTTGAATCAATTAAATCCAATAAATTAAATACTCTGCAAGCAGTTCATCCATTGTATAAGAAAAAGGTTGGAATTGATTATTCATATTTTTTATTTTATTTTATTTTTTATTATTTCCTGCAGGTCTAAAGCACTTGGGAGATGGGAATGTATGACATTATTTCAGTTTAAATCAATGTACACAAAATTCAGGAATGTTTAACATCATATAGCAAAGGGACTTACAGGTAATCTGGGAAACACATGGAATATAGTGACTATTCTGTATAATATATATATTATGATTAAAAGTAATATAAATGTAAACTATATATGTATATAAAACTATTTCTTATAACATGTATCTGATCTACAGTTACAAAAGATGAAATACAGCAAATGTCTTTACAAGTTGATTGTCATCCCCAAATTCTATATAATAATATTTCTGTTTGTATTTTGCAATTTACCTTCAAGGATGATATTTCATTATGAATGGTTGTTACCACATATATGCATATTTGATAATTTGTGTTCTGTAGTCAACAAAATCCTTTTATTTTTCAGTTTAATTTTGTTACACAACAAGTATCAGTTATAGAAAAGAGGAAACTTGTTCAAGTTTTTTCTTGAATATTTCTTTACATAAAACTTGGGGCGAAATCTTTAAAATGTTGGCAGGAATCATTTAGTCACCGACAGTAGCTCGACACAACTTGAAACAGCCGATGCGGGAATGATTTGTATAATGAGGACAATAGCCATACGTTCTTGTATATAACTATTATATACATTGGATAACTACGAAATACAACAAGTAAGTGAGGGATGTATTTGAAAGGGACCCCACCCCCCAAAAATTGGGCAGCTCTGTACAATTGTCGATCAAGTTTTCCTAATGACATTAGAAGATTTTACCAATATATACAAAAAAGATTTTAAAGTTGCTATGTGCAGTTGTACATACAATGCAATAACAGAAGGTCCTGCTGTAAACTACAATACTTGTATCAAAATTTACAGCTGCATGAACACTCAATAATTCAATGTTGGAATCTTCCAATTCTAACTTAAAAAGAAAGGTTCTAATGGACATCTGCTGAAATAATTTATATTTTTTCTTGCCAAACATCTCAGAATGCTTACAAAAACATAAAGATTGTCACACAATTTTTGTTCATAATATCATTTTGTTTTTACAGATATATGAGTGTATTTTTTTAATTAGTTTATCAACGTAACAGCTTTGAGCTAGTTGGTTATACATGTACCAGCAAGGCTTTCAATCTATATTTTTGTTTCTGTGTTTACATTGTGCTTTTACCCTGATTAGTTAACGCCAGTTATAATCCGACATCTTCTCTCACCCTTCCACTTATTTAACATAGCACTACAGTACATATTTGGTTCCGTTTTGATCATTCATACTTACATTTATCTACTGGTAAACTGAATATCATTATAACCTTACATCTGACACACAACGTATCTTAAAGTTTAGTATGGGGATCGTTCTCCATGGTAGACATATCTACTACGTTTTGCGAGGGATAGGGCTGAGCAGCTTCGTGGGGCGGGGGATTGAAAGATGACACGCCACCAACTGCTCCTTTCTTACTGAAATTGTCATATGCTAAATTGTCAAATTCTCTGGTACGATCCTCTATGCTACCTGGACCTGAGGAGCTGTCAATTCTAGAGCCGTCTTTCATAGTATCCCTGATGAAAAACAAAACATTTGTACAAAATGTTATAATGCTGGAAAAATAAACATAAAAAGTCTTTGATAATCATTGAATTAAAACGCATGAAAAAATATTGAAATATTAAAGCAATCTTGTAATTTCAATACATAATCAAAGCAAGACATATCACAGAATTTGTATTTATTTTCATTAAGTCTTGTACAAGAGAGTGCACAATGTTATCACAAGTTTGGTGGTGTTACACTTGTACAGTAAATACACTTAACATGCGGTGTTAATACAAAGCCATGCTGTTAGTAAATAAACCACCCCATTACCAGACTAATCTGATTGCAGTTTAAAAATTACATTTAAAAAAAAAAACTTGATTAAACTTTGAATGTAAAAAAAAGGCTTTATTTTACAGCTTAAGTTCTTTGTACAAGCTTGTCTCTATAGGGAACTTTAAGTCAAAATGGATGAGTTTGCTTCGCCTCATTTTACTAGCTTTTTGATTACATCTGAACTACTCAGTGAGAACTAAAAAAGGAATGAAAAAGATGAAATCCTCTGAGGAAAAAATTGTTAATTGATAAAAATTAGCATCCCTAAAAAAATGATAAAAAAGAAGTTTCACCACTGCCAATTAATGAACATACAAAAAATATTTTCTGATTAACATACAGGAAAATGATTCTCTAAAGAAATAAAATGAATAGAAGCAACACAAAACATTACCTATTTAATAAAAATGTTACACCCTCGGATAACACAAAAGTGTTTGTACTCTTTTTTCTTTCTCTCCATTTAAAGTAATGAAGAAGGCAATTGCAGTAGTAGTAAAATACATAAAACAAATACAAGAGCTACAGGTAGCTGTACACACGCCAATAGTTAACACTACAAAAATATTGCGTTATGAAATATTGTGTAACATTTAATATTTTGGTGACCCAAGGGAGATAACCCATTCAGTCATTGAAAGATATTTGCGGTTACGAAAATTTTCCTTTCATAGAATCAAAATACAGGATACAAATGGGTTATCTCCCATCCAGCTTTAAGCCAACCATTTAAAGCTTTGTATATAAAATTGTAGAGCAAACATCCTTTAATTAACAGTTATGATTATGCCTATGTAAGTACAGTGTACTATATAAGTGATGCCGATGTTCCTGCTTTTGACTTAGTGGTGTTGGTTATGTGTCCTGATTAGTACAAAGTAGGATAGACTGGATCAGAAGTGTCTGCCTTTTTTTCGTTAAGTTGAGTAGGGTCTTCTGAACCCTCTTGTAGATCAGTGCGTGGGGCTACAGCCCCGTGCCGGTATTCAGTGCTAGGGTCCACTGATATATTGGACGGCCTTGCATCATAAGCTGGGTTTGGGTAAGCCCGCTTTTCTTCCTCTATACTGGATCTGGTTACTGTAGAATAACTTTTGTCATCTGCTATATATGAGTTGCGTTTCATTTCTGACCTGCAATCCAACAACCATGCAATTCCTTAAAATTCTCATATTTACCAAAACTTTCTGTGAAAGTGATGAATCTTTTTTGTGAACTTAAAATTGAAATGTATGCATTTATTCCCTAAATGTCAAACATAGTTCTGTATATCTCAAAATCTGCCTTCAAATTTCTGTCAGATAGATCTATATGTTAATTTGCAACATATAAGTTTATAAAATCAGGAAAATCCCCGAAATCAAGATAAAAGAAATTTCAAATTTATGGCGTTTTCAGGTTGACATGTATATCATTAATATACCAAAATACTTGGTAGAGATGAACTTTACCAATCCAAGAATCGTCATAGAAGTGTTTACAACAAGAAGCAAACTAGAATGTGCCACCAATTGGGCATGACAGGAAGTTGATATGGTACTCAGCACAGGTACACTACTCAAGCGTCTGTAAGAAACTTTTGGAAAGTACGTACAAGATGTGAAAACTTCTACAGAATTACAAATCCTACGCAAAAGCAGGAGGATTAGCAATAAGAAAATCATAAAGCCAGGGACATGTGCAAATAGGGTCTATATGTTGAACCAAAAGGTGAAAGCATGGGATAATAAAAAGCACAGAAGTATTGAGCAAACTAAATATCACAATTGTCTGAGAGTACACTGGATTAATCATAAAAATATTGAAAAACCTACATTTTTTCTCTCTTTTTTTCGACTTCATGGCTTGTGACTACCGTATATATCTGTCGACATGCGATTAGGAAACATCATCTTGTGTTTGTATTAATGTAACAGATCTCGGACAATGTAGATCACTAGTATGTCACTGTATAAGGAATAGTGGAGATTTCTCAGAGGATATTCAAGAAACACAGGATCTTGATCAGCATGATACTGCTCCAAACGATCAGGAGCCTTTTTGAGTAATGTGCCAGTGTATACACCGCTCCAGTCACTAGCCTGCTCCCTGTTTGTGAACTAATGAGCCTGTGTCCGAGTTATACCACCGGGCTGGAAAGCGAGCTTGACAAAATAATTTAAGTAGTATTTTTCCGTCATATTCGCTGGCTGTAACACTATTCGTCCCTCCAAGAGATGTCGTCCTGAGACTTGGCCTAGGGAATCCTGTAGGTCCTCCTCCCTGTGTACCAATGTAACTGAGGTTGACCAGGAACTACTAACCACTCTGAACAGATGTTACAATGAACCATGGGGTCACGGCGCTGCTATCAAAAGTAAAATGCCGAACTAGTGCACATGTCTCCAAGGGTTATATATGTACTGCATCTCTGGAAAAGCTAGCTTACCAGTAAGTTTAAGGCAGTGCTTCCCCCTCATATTCCTGGCCTGTTCAGTTGTTAATCCAGATAGATATATACCACCATTCATTGCAATTATGTGTAAAGGTTTGGGGAAACAGAACAAAATTTCTGTATGGATTCGAACGAACCGAGGGAGGTGGAATATATAGCTATAACACTAACAAAAAAATAGAATTACTTTGAAGGTCAGAAAGGAGAACACGAGTATGAAAGTGCCATAACTGACCACTAATATAACACTGAGAACAGATTTACAAGTTTCACAGAGACAGGAATCAGGGAGTTCGACAAGACAAAGAAGCCATCTAGCTCAAGAGATGGTGGCTTAGTTATGAACTGAGACCAGACGGATTCTACTGACCAAGACAGGTCAATGGCACCTTGTATAGACACCTTGTTTGCTAATGTGGTGATAAAAGGGAAAGAACTCCTTCCCCACTAGCATCACCAGTGAAATAGCTGAGAGTCTGGGTAAGAGCTTTAGTTTTCATTCCAGCAGTGATCGAATGAAGACAGCGTAGACCACTAGTGTCTAGAGAGGTCAATATATATATAAAAAAATTCCATTTGGAGTACATTAGATCACTTGTAACCAAATATCTCAATATAAGAGTGTGCATCCACAGAACAAAAGATCACTACCAAACAGTTCAACATAAGAGTGTCATCGCAAGTACAAAAGATTAAAGAGTTCGTCTAAAGTATAAAAGATCGAAAGGCAATGAAGTTTCGTAACTTGGAAGTGAAAAAGTGTTTATCGTCTGCAGAGAGGGAAAAGCACTGGATATAGCACTAGTGGGCAGAATGCTTCACATATCGCCAACATCAGCTTCACAGATTTTCTGTTCTTTTGAACTTTGAGTAGCACTCTTGGGCATCTTCGTGTGGAATTTGCAGCTGTAAAAATATCACTCATGCGCAGAGGTAGTGAAGTTTGAAGACTAGCAGGCAAATAAAAGGTCCCACATCTAACTTTGTGGAATGCTTTCAACTTTGATATTGTTTTGCTCTTTGCGTAATGTGCGCAGGCCTTTGGCCTCTGAACTTGGCAGATTACCTGTCTGCCCTTGATATCAGGTAAACTCTCGTTAGCGTCTGCACATTATCTTTACTATCCTCACATTTATAGATTGGAGCTCAATCATTGCAGAATCAAGAATGTGTACCACACAACACTCCAACACTCTGTGATAGCTATATGGATTATTACAAGCAGTACGTATATAGAAGCGCAAGCATCCTTGGCAGATTACATCCCATCCTGACACCATAAGAAAAGCATTACTGTATCAGCAGCTTATCACTGTAGAACCATTCACCACTGTATACCAAACTGTGTAAATTGACCTGCCCATATATATGTGATTTTGTATATATATATGATACTCTGCATCCCACATATAAGTCAATAGCACATGTTAATTGGCTTACCTCCGTACGCAAATCATGTTTACCAGACGACAGCAGATTGCCGTTCATGCAAGGATCGCAGTTTATATCTATCAAATTAAGGACACAAACCAACACCACTTGCAATTAAATGTGAATGTTAGGCAACACAAAACGTGACAAAATTCAGTTACATTGCATTAAAATCAGGTGTGCAGTAAACATTAAGTCGTATCAACCTGACCAATCAGTGATGGTGATACAGGTCTCTACGTGACATGATACTGTAACGCCACTTCCCATTGTAAAATCACACCATAAATGTTTATGTACAATGTTATAGCTATTTTTTATATCATTACTCAGCTTTTGGTTTTGTTTTCCTATAAAAATAGATGGGGGCTATTTTTATCGCCTTTATTTGAATTACCTGTCTACTGAACTTTCAGGGAAAGGATCAGCCCTTTTAACATTCAATTAATCAAAATATAACAAAATAATGGTGTGTTTCTCTTGACTTATCTCCCTTTACAAAGGTATTGGTGTTTAAATTGTCTCCTTTCAATCATCTCCCTTAAAGGATTATTTTCTGTTTCCTTGAAATATCTCTGTCCGTTGGTGTTCTCGTAAATTAACTCCCTTCAGAGATAGTATTGGTGGGTTTTTTTCAATTTGTTCTCCCTTGAAATATCTTCCATTACAGATAAAACTGGTGGTTTATTTTATTATTGTCTCCCTTGACTTATCTCCCTTCAAAGTTTAGTTTTTTCATATAATTCTCATCCTTGAATTTTTTTCTCTCATTTTACTGATAATAATAATTTGGTGATCTTATGAATTAGCTCCCTTTAGAGATTATTTGGGTTTTCATTATTGTCAAACATTAATTAATTCACTTCACAGACAGTAATTGTTTTTAATGTTGCCTCAATTTATGCATCTCCCCTTCTACATATAGGCATTATACATATAATAATAGGACTGCTCTGTGGTACATAGGAAAACGACAGTAGCTACAGAAAACTACGGAAGTTTAGACACTATCAGGGCAATTTCTAAACAACATGCATAGATACTACACTTAAAAATTTAAAACAGGCACCAAAGTACTTCTTTGAGAAAGACTCGACACATAGGTAGTTTTTGTGTATGATTCTAAATTCTAAATCATCAAAGGAAAGTAAAGGACCTAGTCCCTGCTAAAGCAACATTTGGGAGGAAAAAAAGGACCTTTTCAGCATACTGAAGTCATCACTACCTAAGTTTGAGGTAAAACCTCTCTTAGCTCGTCACAACTACTTGAAACTGAGGTCACATCTATCTAAGCTTTATTATATTCATTGTCACTACTTGGGTTCTCCTTTTGATAATGTCAATCATTTGGTCACTACCCTAGTTCTTGCTAGAAGTATGCAACATTACTTGGATTTCACCTAGAGGTGCTTACCCCTCTGGAACACCTGGTCCTATTTTTTTAAATATTTGTCTAGGGTGTCTATATGAATCTTACCTTTGTTTAAACTTGACCTAATTTAATATATATTCTCTTTTTTTTTTCAAATCTCTATAGAATTCTTTTTACTTATTTTGAAAAGGGCATCACCCTTTTTTTTTTTTTTTTTTTTTTTTTTTTTTTTTTTTTTTTTTTTTGATCTTTTGAGACAAGCAAGCATAAGCAAGTGACATACAACAAAGTTAAGTTTCATTCTTTTGAAGCTACTAAAGCATCAACACACTATTGAAAAAAAATCTCATTAGCCATTGATTAGTATAAAAGCTTGATGCATTCAGCAACAAAATTGTAACAAGCTCTTGAAATATTATCACAAAGCAGTGACATAAATTGAAAAGAATTAATTATCTTGACTGGATGAATAACCTGAACATAAAGAAGATAGCATAACGAAAATAACTTGTAGACTCATCCTGTTGCTGTTGGACTGGTATAGTTTATATATTTTTATTAATATTTCATGTTTAATTGACAAAGCCAAAGTGCTAGACTTGCTCACCCCTGTACAAAATGAGACAATCCAAATCTATGGAAGATTATATATCTTACATCATTTTAAAAATATGCTATGCCATCTGTTACAAATTTCCTTCTGACTTCTTCCCATACCGGCCTGTGCCTTATGTTATCTAGGTAATTATTACAGAATTTTCACATAGATGGAAAATTATACAATATGTATCCATAACACAGCAATCAGAATGGTTGTCAATGCATTTAATATAAAATTGGATGAATAAATTAAGAATATAGAGACCAAAAATATCTTCATACCAATATCTAAGCAGCAAAAACAAGTTGATGCAATGATTTCTATGCCACTATCTTAACTAAAACTAAGAAATGTAACCCCCTCCATCCTAGCATTTGGTCATAATTGTAATAATCTAATAATTGTGTAGTTAAATTTTTTTTTTATTAAATCAACGGAATATTTCGGCAAAAATGACCCTCTGTCTACTGATTTGCAGGCATCTTGGAGTCAAATACTCCCCTCCTCCCTCCCC